GAAGCGGATATCGTCCTCTTTTGGAAGACCAAACAAAGTAGTTTCGCTTTCACAACGAAGCACACAGCGTCTTCACGACATGGCTGCAGTGGTAACAATACTACAGTGAGAATAAAAGTTACGCCTTCTTTCTTTGCGTGAACATTTGGGTGGCGTTATGCAAATCTTCCCACATAGTGAGGTAGATATGTGGGGGCGTGTTAGAACCAGCCGTTTTAGGTAGGCGTGGCTGACTCTTAACTTTTATAAAGAATATCTCTTTGGATTTGAGACTTTAGTCTTTGCAACTTTACAGATCTTCTTTATGCACCAAGAGCTTGTAACACTCCAAAGAGAAAGGAAAAATTGAAATCGCATCATATGACCCCTTTAAATGACTGAATGTTTGACTTGGTTCATAACTGTATTGTGGGATGTTTCAGGCATGCAGCCTGTGCTGTATTCTGTGAGGGAGGCGCTGGAGGGCAGACCACACTGGGTGCGAACAGGCTCTGAGATCTGCTATTACAGGTATTGCGCTTCCTTTATTTCACTTCAGGTCTTTACATTTAAACTCACATTATTTCACTTTGCCTCACTTTACTGTACTTTTTCTCTATGCAGTCTATTCTTTATTCAGGATATTGCATGTATAGCATCTAATTGTGGTTTTGACTTCCACAGAAATCATTTCTGCTCTAGAAGAGGTCAAAAAAGTTATTTTTACACACTGACCTTCAGGGTGACCTTTCATCATGAAGATGACGTGTGCTACTTGGCCTACCACTACCCTTATACCTACACCACCCTTCAGGTGCTTGACATGACCCACTTTGTATTAATATTAGGGCCGGGATGTCACACTTATCTCCAGAATCAATACTATCAAGATTTTTAGGTGATGAATTGATATGTTAATATGATGTGTTGATATGTTAAGGCACTAGGTTAAGTGAAATATAATGAATTGACTGTTTCATATTTGAAAGTAACATAGCAAAATGCAGTTATTGGATGGTAGGGACACTGCAGATAATGATTCATGTAAGCGTTGTTCATACATCAACTGAAAACAGACTAAACGATCTTGGTTCATCAAAATGAAGACTGATTAAAACTGAGAAATTCATATTGTCAAATCAGGCATAGCATCCAGACAGCTGACATGTTTACCTGTTGTAGCTTATTCACGTTAATTAAACATCGCTAATAAAACATTAACATTTTGGTCAATGATTTCGGCCCTCCAAAACTATATAAAAAAGTTTTTTTGGTTACCAAAATTTCGGTGCATCACTACTCATAATGGCTAAAGACTAAAGCAAATGTATTTACGATTTTCTATATTCTCTAGACCCATTTGAAGATGCTGGAGAAGTCTGTAGACCCACGGAAAGTTTTCTTCAGGCAACAAAACCTCTGCGATACGCTGGCGGGAAACTCCTGCTCCTTAGTCACGATCACAGCCTGCCCCACTTCCAGAGCCTGGAAACATCTGCACCAGCTGCGTAAGTCTGACACTAAAACCCGCAATGAGTCAGATTTACCCTCTTGTGTGTTGACGCACCTGTGAACTGAACGTCTGATGCTGCTTTGGGTTTGTATTCAGCAGTGAAAGTGTGTGTGTGTGTGTGTGTGTGTGTGCGTTCATGAGTGTGTGTGCTCGTACAGTCTGGCAGATCTTCAAGGTACATGGAGCATTTGAGCTTTGACACCTCCTGTCAGAGGAGGAGTTGAGGAGCTTCAGGGTGGCTGGATGTATGTGGGGAGGACACTGTTAGATTGGATGACAGTGCTTGACTCACTACCTGAAGCACATGTTATGCCAGAAGACAAAAAGTTAAAAGAACTAGGAGAGCATATATGGATTGAGAAGAAGTCAGTTTCAGGTTTTAGTTTGGTAGCTGCTTCAACAGGTCTTTACATTTAAACTCACATTATTTCACTTTGCCTCACTTTACTGTACTTTTTCTCTATGCAGTCTATTCTTTATTCAGGATATTGCATGTATAGCATCTAATTGTGGTTTTGACTTCCACAGAAATCATTTCTGCTCTAGAAGAGGTCAAAAAAGTTATTTTTACACACTGACCTTCAGGGTGACCTTTCATCATGAAGATGACGTGTGCTACTTGGCCTACCACTACCCTTATACCTACACCACCCTTCAGGTGCTTGACATGACCCACTTTGTATTAATATTAGGGCCGGGATGTCACACTTATCTCCAGAATCAATACTATCAAGATTTTTAGGTGATGAATTGATATGTTAATATGATGTGTTGATATGTTAAGGCACTAGGTTAAGTGAAATATAATGAATTGACTGTTTCATATTTGAAAGTAACATAGCAAAATGCAGTTATTGGATGGTAGGGACACTGCAGATAATGATTCATGTAAGCGTTGTTCATACATCAACTGAAAACAGACTAAACGATCTTGGTTCATCAAAATGAAGACTGATTAAAACTGAGAAATTCATATTGTCAAATCAGGCATAGCATCCAGACAGCTGACATGTTTACCTGTTGTAGCTTATTCACGTTAATTAAACATCGCTAATAAAACATTAACATTTTGGTCAATGATTTCGGCCCTCCAAAACTATATAAAAAAGTTTTTTTGGTTACCAAAATTTCGGTGCATCACTACTCATAATGGCTAAAGACTAAAGCAAATGTATTTACGATTTTCTATATTCTCTAGACCCATTTGAAGATGCTGGAGAAGTCTGTAGACCCACGGAAAGTTTTCTTCAGGCAACAAAACCTCTGCGATACGCTGGCGGGAAACTCCTGCTCCTTAGTCACGATCACAGCCTGCCCCACTTCCAGAGCCTGGAAACATCTGCACCAGCTGCGTAAGTCTGACACTAAAACCCGCAATGAGTCAGATTTACCCTCTTGTGTGTTGACGCACCTGTGAACTGAACGTCTGATGCTGCTTTGGGTTTGTATTCAGCAGTGAAAGTGTGTGTGTGTGTGTGTGTGTGTGTGCGTTCATGAGTGTGTGTGCTCGTACAGTCTGGCAGATCTTCAAGGTACATGGAGCATTTGAGCTTTGACACCTCCTGTCAGAGGAGGAGTTGAGGAGCTTCAGGGTGGCTGGATGTATGTGGGGAGGACACTGTTAGATTGGATGACAGTGCTTGACTCACTACCTGAAGCACATGTTATGCCAGAAGACAAAAAGTTAAAAGAACTAGGAGAGCATATATGGATTGAGAAGAAGTCAGTTTCAGGTTTTATTTTGGTAGCTGCTTCAAAGGCAAAACATGAAATCAAAACGTAACCCTTTTACTTATATATTACCCATGTCTTATTGTTTGATTTGTCGGTGTACGTTATTTAAAACATTTTTGTTTTCATAATATTCTATATTACCAAGGCTATACTTTTTTAACTGGTAATATCATTATTTATATTTTTCATGAGACACCTTTTAATGCAAGGCAAAAATACAATAAATAAAAATATAAATTAATAAAATAATATAAATAAACATTTATTTATTTATTTATTTATTTATTTGACTCTAAGGATCCAAACCTTTTTCCTAATCCTATTTTTTTTTTGTTGCAAAAATTAAATCAATACAAAGTAATATTTATTTATTTTAGTTATTTAGTTATTTTTCTATGATTTGTATTTGTTGTCTTTAAGGCACTCAGAGCATGTGAAAATCATTTTTTAAATGAAATACTTAAATCATACAATTTTGATATTTCTTTTTAAATTTAAATGTATTTTCTTTTAGGAACCTGGAGCATCTAAATATGATTTATTTATTTTTTTTTTTTTATTTTACTATGATTTTTATTTATTGTCTTCAAGGCACTCGGAGCATGTGAAAAGTGATATTATAATGTAATAAAAATAATACATATATGTATTATTGATTTTTTAATACACTTTTTTTGTATTTTTAATGCACCTGAAGCATCTAAACTTTTTTTTTTTTTTGGCAAAAATTCAATAAATAAATTGATAGATTGTCTTTTTGCCTTTGTTAGATAAATCCAGGTGTAAACGGACACTTAAACACCCTTGTGTACTGACACTGATCACACTAAGCAAATTTATGAAGCATCTAGCAAAAGCACTTAGTGGTGGGTTCATATCTTGAATCGGTACTCACACCCGCTCTTGCATTAGTGCTGACAGGTGTGACTGTCAGCTGCAGGTGAAACTGCAGAGATAGATGTTTTTGACTGAAGGAAGATCTAGAGGGACACGCTGGGACATGCTGACCCAGCTGTGGGCCACTTCCACTGCGTTGCACGGTGCTCACCAAACCCTCATCTCCTGATGAATATGGAGGCGAGACATCTGTAGCTTGATCCCCATAGACCGACGCAGAGCATCTGGCTCGGTTGAGGGTGGAGGGACAGCCCGCTCAGATCGACCGACTGCTGACAGTCCCCAAGACACTCTGACGTACTGCAAAGTGACCTGCTGACAATTCCCAATGACTGTCTCACACAGTGACCTGTTCACTAACTTGGAACTTGTGCCGTTGATCAAAGACTGTTAGTTATTAGCGTGTTTAAATTAGCTATGCATGAGCTCTGTGTTTGTGTGTGTGTGTGTGCTCGCGCGCATTTGTGTATGTTAGCGTAATCAAATCACATAATGAATGCACACATATGGACTTTTTTTCAAGAATTTGATGGCTAATAAAATCAGTGTCGTTGAAATGACTTCCCATAATTTTAATTCAGGTGCTGTTTTAATTGTTTTAACAGCATTGGACTTTGAATATAACTCATATCATAGCTTTTTAAAGCCTCTGGGACTTTAGATGGTTATAACTTATTTTTAGAAAATAGATGTCTTGCTATTTTATCACCGTAATGATATGCATATCTGCAGTTATAAAAGAACAATTTCTAATGGAATCAAACACATTGTTGGAGTTACTTTTTAAAATTAACATGTTGCATTATTGCATTTCTCGAATAAATAAATAAATAAATACCAGTTTCCGCTTGGGACAAAGGTAATTTGACTTTTTCTCGTGTTTGCGACTTTATCTCACAATTATGCCTTTATTTGATTTGTTTATTTCTTTAATAATGTTTTTTGTCTTTATATCTCGCAATTGCGACTATTTTTCTTAAGTGGTTTTTTTATATCACAAATATTACATTATTTCATACAATTGTGACTTTTCTCAAAGTGTGCTTTTATATCTTAAAGGGGTCATATGATGCTGCTAAAAATAACATTATTTTGTGTATTTGGTGTAATGAAATGTGTTTATGCAGTTTAAGGTTCAAAAAACACATTATTTTCCACATACTGTACGGGGAAGTCGTGGCCTAATGGTTAGAGAGTCGGACTCGTAACCCAAAGGTTGCGGGTTCGGGTCTCGTACCGGCAGGGATTGTAGGTGGGGGGAGTGAATGTACAGCGCTCTCTCCCACCTTCAATACCACGACTGAGGTGCCCTTGAGCAAGGCACCGAACCCCCAACTGCTCCTCGGGCGCCGCAGCAAAAAATGGCTGCCCACTGCTCCGGGTGTGTGTTCACGGTGTGTGTGTGTTCACTGCTGTGTGTGTGCACTTTGGATGGGATAAATGCAGAGCACTAATTCCGAGTATGGGTCACCATACTTGGCCACGTCACTTCATGTCACTTCATGTCATGTCATGTCACTTATGCACCAAGAGCTTGTAACACTCCAAAGAGAAAGGAAAAATTTAAATCGCATCATATGACCCCTTTAAAATTGGAACAATAATTCTCGTACTTGAGACAATTTTTCTCAAAAGTGTGGTTTTATATCACAATTATAACATTATTTCTCAAAGTTGTGAGACTTCTCAAAGTGTGATTTTATATCTTACAATTGTAACAATTTTCACAATTGTGACTATTTTTCTCAACATTTTATTTTACATCTCATAATTATTATTTCTTGCAATTGCGACCTTTTTTACTTTGCGATTTTTATATATCACGATTGTAACATTATTTCTCACAATTGCAACAAATTTTCTCAAGGTGTGTTTTTTATATCTCACAATTGCAACATTACTTGCAATTGTGTTTATTCTAAGTGTGACTTAATATCTCAAAATTGTATCATTATTTCTCATAATTATGACTTTGTACTTTGTGAGACTTTGTATCTTACTGTGACTATATTTCTCATATTTGAGACTCATAACAAGTTAACACAAAACAACACCAAATACAATTCAATCTGAATAGAATTACTGTATGCATATTTATTGTAAAACTTATTTTAGTCAAATTGAACATTAGTCAATTTGCATAATAAAACCAAACAAGTAAGCTGTATCTAATAAGAGGCCAGATCATCAAAATGTTGGTATGATATTTACGTCAATTTATGTGTAGTATTCTTTTGAAAATGTAAATTAAAATACTTCTTAAATGCACAAATTAAGTTGAAATAACTTCTAGTATATTTCTGTCTAAATATGTATAGTCTGCCAAATTTGAAGAAACTCGTTTTCCCATCAGTTGATACACAG